AAAAACAAAAAGTTTGACGTGTATCTTGTGCGAAAGTGTGCTCGTGGGGACTTCCGCGAGCAGAAGTGGAAGCCACGGAAATGGAACTGCAGGCACGAAAGAAAATTTAAATTTTGAATTGAAAATCTTAAACTTGAAAAGGAGTAGGAGCTGACTTTTTGGAAATTCGGAAATTTTAGTTTTTCATGTGTGAACAGTGTTGCATTTAAAAATGCGCTAAAGTGCAGAGTTTCAGATTGTGTATGGTGAACGATCAGACCGCAAAACTATCAAATGTGGGTTTCAATGATCTAAAACATATTTGAATGGAAAATTATATTATCTAAAAAACTTTCATTGATTACAAAAAAAAAATATTCCGTATATGCACGCCATTTCGCTTTATGAAGCAAAATAATTGAAACAAGTAAAAAAGTTTAACAGTCATTAGATAATAAAAGTTATAAATTTTTTTTTTAATTTGTAAAAAAATTTTAAGAACTACCTTAACTTAACTAAGTGTAAAGTATGCAAAAACGCCGCTGGGAAGTGCCTTAAAAAGTGAAATAAAAACTCAAGAAATATTTGCTCAAATTGACCACCCTAATACTTTTACATATTTTATGGAATTTGCAATATTTAAATTCAAGTTCAAAAACTATGCAAAAAACGTATCCAAATTTGCTAAATCAACATTCAACCCTAATGTAAAGAATTGCATGAATCCATGAAATTTATGCACGAAAAAGAATTCTACATTGTAGCAAAACCTTGACAACAACAAGAAAGAAACTCAACTTTGCTTAAAACATTGTTTCTTCACTTCGCAAAAAACACCGTCGCTTTACCCATTCTTCGTTGTTTTTTTTTTTCTTTCCTGGCTGTCACATTTGACTTAATGCCCAACTATAATATTCGCTTTGTGCTCAATATTCGCTTTAGCTACATTTTACGTTGTGCCCTAGTGAATATCATTCAACAATAGATGCAACAACATTCAATGATAACCGCCGCCATCGCCGTCGCCGTTTAGTGTCTGTCCGATGTTTATGTTGTTTCCGGTATAGTGGGTGCGTGTTTGTGTTTTTTGAGTCGTACGCGCGCGCGCGCTTGTGTTTGTGTGCGTGCGAAAACTTCAGTCTGCTTGACCGACCATTCGTTCATTCATCGATCAGCAAGACGCCAGTTTTAAGCTTAATATATGGTAATGGCAGAGATTGGTGGCCATTTGGCTCACCAGCTACCAAATTTGCACAATCACACACAAAGTGGATTACAGCCGTCGCTGGTGATGAATCATCACCTGGAATTGGATTGCCATGGACATGATGTGATAAGTGAGTACAATCGATTTCGAGGATTTTATCTGTTTTGAAAATTAGAAAAAAAATGCAAATTCGAAACGTCATAAAATACATTTTTTTTTTTGTTACTTTTGGTTTCCCCTACCGACGGGGATTGGAACTCCCATCTTGTACTTTACGAATCGTTTTCTTCAGTATTCTTTCTAAAAAAATAACTGGAAATTTGTGAGCATATTACCTGCGCCAGAGCATAGGTGTACGAGCCACCACTTTTTTGGAATCAGATCCCACTTCTATTCGCTGTATGTGTGCTATTCTGTCATCTAATAACACCGGCACACAAAAAAAGTTCGACTTCGAAGACAGCCACATGGTAGGTTCTCTTCCTTGTGCGGTATCTAAAGACCTTACCCGACCATTTTTGAATCACCATTTTGGATCAGTCATTTCAATTTTTTTTTTTTTAATATGTATAGGCTTCATGTTTGAGCAACTCTCCTCAATCTGAATCAATGATAAAAATAAGCGAAATTTCAGTTTAAGTCCAAAGAACCAATGAACTAACAACTAACAAATCAATTTCTCAAAGAACCAACCTCGAGGTAGCCCCGCGCAGAGGTCTTTAGATACAACGCAGGGAAGATAACCTACCACTCGAACTTGTTTTTTTGTGCCGGTGTAATTCTTCTAAGAATTTTTAGAGGTCTGATCAGCATGGCCTCCAAAAGATGCTTCTGACGTCGGTATTGTTATTCCTGACTGTCAAGCAAAGGATAGCATTGCAGTGAAGGGTTCAGTGCCAGAACTTTGACGAACTATGTATAATGCTAAGCAGTGGAGGATCCAGCGGGGTGTTGAGGGTGTATTGGGGGCTAAACTACGTGTCAGTCAGTGGCGGACCAACGGGGGTGTATTAATAATAGACGCCACATTATACATAAATATGCGCCATATTAAAACACCCCCCGTGGGTCCGCCACTGACTGACACGTAGTTTACTTTGTCAGTCAGTGTTGGCAAAATGTTGATCTGATTAACGATTAAAAATTAACGATTAAAATGTTATTCGCGATTAACGATTAAAATTAATTAATCCTAATCATCTATATGATTAATGATTAAAATTATTTAATCGTTAATCGTCGGTTTTGACTAATTAATTTTAATCATCAATCGTTAATNGCGGACCAACGGGGGTGTATTAATAATAGACGCCACATTATACATAAATATGCGCCATATTAAAACACCCCCCGTGGGTCCGCCACTGACTGACACGTAGTTTACTTTGTCAGTCAGTGTTGGCAAAATGTTGATCTGATTAACGATTAAAAATTAACGATTAAAATGTTATTCGCGATTAACGATTAAAATTAATTAATCCTAATCATCTATATGATTAATGATTAAAATTATTTAATCGTTAATCGTCGGTTTTGACTAATTAATTTTAATCATCAATCGTTAATCTGATTTAAAAAAATCTGAAAAAAATCATTTTAAATCAAACACCATTTACGGTTAGTCTTAATTAACTGACCTTGTATGCAAAAGACAATTCCAGCATAAATTAATTAATCACCAAACCTACTTAGTCAAATTAAGAGTTCATGATTAAAAATTAATTTTTTTAATCACGGTTACGATTAACCGTTTAATCAGATTAAATTCAATCATGATTAACTGTAATTCGAATGAATTTAATCAAATTAACTAATTGATTAAAAAATCGATCGATTAGTGCCAACACTGGGCTCGGTACAACTCAATTGTTACAATAACAAGTATTTTTTAAGCAAACAACACAACTGACTTCAATTCTCAAATAAAAATTTAGAAGTACCGTTAATTTCTTCATAATCCAATAATTGGATCTAAACCAAATTAGTATGGGACCAGCTCTGAGGCACCTCCTTTCTGATAGAAATATAATTATCGAAATCGGTTAATGTGGTCCAAATATTCTGATGAATTGATAACCTCCTCCTTTTTTGAAGTTGATTAAAAAGAGAAAAATTAATGAGGTAAATTGTTATTATCAAATTTACATTGCAAATAATCTCAGCCCTCCCCCTAAATTATGTTCTACGTACGCCAATGAACACATCTAAGATTACTTTGAATTCCTTATGGTACAGTTGTAGAAAATCGGCTTGCGCCGCAATTTCCGAGTTTTCATTGTATCTTTCAGGAATGCGAAGGGGTTTTTAGTGCCTGATAAAGTCATCTTCTGTATTCACATAATTTTTTCCCCCAAATAATGCCGAACTATCTATTAAAGCATTAAAAATGTATTTTTAATCAGCTGCATTGCATCGACGATATTTAAATTTCGAAGTCCAAAATCTCATTGTGGAGACCAAATACACTGGATCGCAAATTGCTATCCAAATCACGAACCCTCATTTAAAATAAAATATAAAAAATAATTACTCTTCTGGCATTTTCTGAAAAAAATTATCCGAAAATTTCCTACTGTGCAGCGGCTAGAAGTTCGATTTCTGTTGTGAACTGAAAATTAAGGATAGTTTTTGTTCAAAATTTTAAGTTTCTTGAAGTCGTGTGTTGGCTTAATTCCAGCATAGATAATGTGGGTGAACTTTATGGGGCGTATTCTTGTTTTCGTACGAATCGAAAATCATGAAGTTTTCCTATCGATTTCTATACGAAAATTTCAAATTTGTAGGGCGAGGTGGAAAAATTATCCCGCCGATCCACGCCGCCGTCGCCGCCACCGTTTGTTGTAATTTTTCTCTCGCCGCCGCCGAGTCATGCAAACATCGGCGCGGCGGCGGCGGCGGCGTTCGGTGCGTGTGGATTACAAATATTCATGTACAAAATATTAATGATATACAGTGGTCGAAAAAATTATAGCCGCACCACATATTGACAAGTATTAACAATTTTTTCTTGTTATTTAATTTTTGTAATTTGTTTATAAAAATATGGTTCATTCTTTAATAAAACCCGTATAAATCCTTGTTTAAAATTTTGTAGAATATTAAAAAAAATAAACAAATTTTCGTAAAAATTTCGAGTTTTTTAATTAGATTTTGAGTATGTAGTTTTGTAGTCCATTGAATTCTAGTAGAATAAGGTGCATGTTTCAAATAGCTTAAAATTTACCGTTAATTTTTTAGAGTTTTGTGTGTCCCATTTGCTTCTATATAACGAATAAATTCAATTTATTTATATATGGTTCCTGCAGCCGCAACATCTTCGACGAAAAAAAATTCTAAAAAATCAAGGGAAGTTAACTACTGACAAGGATTTAACTATCGATATTCAAATCCACAGTGCTTAGTTAATACTTAGTTAGTTAATACCAGTTTAATAAGCCCTCATGGCCCTATACTTAAACTCTTGCTAAAATTATTTTATTTTTTTTGTAGAAAGCAATTTCAATTTGTATAGAAAAATAAACATTTTTCGAGGTTGTACAATTTGAGGTGAAATTAATTTCTGTAGTTTATTATTTGACCATTTTCACCAGTTATAAATAGTTGCCCATTGGATAATTAAATGACAGAATATCGAAAAATTGCGATTTTGTTATTTGTTTTATTTTTGTTTTTCATTAAATATTGCGTAAATACATAGGACTCGCCAAGGGCGCTACATATGCATATATGTATGTATGTATATGTGTATAATTATTTAACGCCAAACAGCGCTAGTTTTATTAAACACTTTAAATATTAAATTAAGCAATTTAGTCGATCAAATGGGGATTTAATTGCTTTACTTTGAGTTGAAACCAGCAAAAATAGAAAAACCAAAAAATAATAAATGCATGGCCCATATTCAACTAATGTGTTTAAAAGCGAAATTTAAAAACGGCTCCTCTAATAGGAAAACTTCAAAAACCTAAAAATTACTTTTATTTTAATACAGATGTTCCATGTCCATCACTATTTGTTTTTGGTTATTAAGATATTTATTTAGGTATGTACATTAGGGTGGATCAGCAAAAAAAAGTTGTGATTTTCCACCGGAATTATAAAACTTATTAAATTTTAAGGCTTCTGTCAAAATATTTCGGAAAATATGTAATTAGATTAAGGTGAGTTGAACCGATTTGAAAATATGTACCCCCATAAATCTAATTACTTTAATTCCGTTGAAAAATTTATCAAACATTTTTATCCAGACCTCGTAGCTCAACTTTTATCTGAGGTGACTTTTTATAAAAAAATATTTTTAGAAACTTTTTTTATTGATAAAAACCTCCATTTTTGGAGGTATTTTCACATATGTAGGTCCAGCTCACGAAAATCTTAATATTTTTAAGTTTTATATTTCCGATGGAAAAACATATTTACTATACATACATATGTATGTATGTATTTGAATGAATAGTAGTTATATTTCATGTGCCATGTGTCCCTGTCGGGAAACGCACTAGTGCCGAACTGGTTCTGTACTAGAGAATGACTAGTGCGCCTTAATTCACTTTTGTATGCTAACAACTGGCGAATTTAACATTCCGATGTCCTAAGAAGTGTCATTTCCATTTTTCGATAGTTCCGAACTAGTCCTAAATTCTATAGTTTCGAACCAGTTCTAAAATCGACAGACGAAAAAAGAATCATTATTTTTTAAATCTTTTTGGATTTTCCCTGCGTTCGATTTTAAATCATTACCAAAGAAGTGTGTTTTCAATTTGAAATCAGATTTGTTTGAATGATTGTAAGAAATGTACATTTATATACCTTTGACTGTAGCTGAGTTTGCAGAGGTGCTTGCTGTTTATTATTGGTTAGATTTCAGACGGTCTCACGATGTTAGAATGTTAACACAAATTTTTGTTTTGTATTAAGCTAGTATCCCACTATCGCGCAAATAGAAGCCCCCCGCTGCTTTCCTTTCTCGATAGTTCCAAACCAGTTCGGAATTCGTCAACTTAGATATAAATTTCTAACCAAAAATAAATAAAATAAAATAGTTTTTTTAAAGTACCACATTTCGCTGATTTTGGACTGGTGCGGAACTTGAAATTTGATTCACTAGTTCGCGGTTTCTCTGCAGGGCAA